TATAAATACCAATATATAACAATGTATGTATATATATGTTATATATATATACATTGTTATATATATGGTTAAGTCTAGAGAACCGGACCAAGATGAAGTCAGGAATACATCTCCTAGATACAGAAATAACTCTTATATTGTATAGTTTAGAGAACCGGACCAAGATAAAGTCAGAAATACCTCTGACAGTTACAGATATAACTCTTGTATAGTCTAGAGAACCGGACCAAGATAAAGTCAGAAATACCTCTGACAGTTACAGTTATAATCTTGTATAGTCTAGAGAACCGGACCAAGATAAAGTCAGGAATACCTCTGACAGTTACAGATATAACTCTTGTATAGTCTAGAGAACCGGACTAAGATGAAGTCAGGAATACCTCTGACAGATACAGATATAACTCTTGTATAGTCTAGAGAACCGGACCAAGATAAAGTCAGGAATACCTCTGACAGTACAGATATAACTCTTGTATAGTCTAGAGAACCGGACTAAGATGAAGTCAGGAATACCTCTGACAGATACAGATATAACTCTTTTTTCGTATAATCTGGAGAACCGGACCAAAATAAAGTCAGAAATGCCTCTGACAGTTACAGATATAACTCTTGTATAGTCTAGAGAACCGGACTAAGAGGAAGTCAGGAATACATCTCATAGATACAGATATCAGGGGCGGATACAGGATTTAAGAAAAGGGGATGCTAGATTTATTTCGGAACAAAAAATCCAGATTATGGAATAAAAAGACTTGCCGCAGGCGAAAACTTTATTAAAGATAGATATTTTTCCTGTTTTGCACTAGGTTAATTTCCCTTAAGTGCTAATAAAGAGCTATTCTGAAATCTCAGGGGGGGTGGGGGCTATCCGCCCCTGGATATAACTCTTGTATTGTATAGTCTAGAGAACCGGGCTAAGATGAAGTCAGGAATACCTCTGACGGATGAAGATCGTGAACCATGGCTTAAAACTCTGGCGAGGTATTCTGATGCTTATTGATAGTGTGCTGATAGTGAATTTATCAACAGACAATAATCGGTTATTTTAAAGGCTTAAAAGATAAAAGTTGTGCACTCAGAAACCCATCTTTTAGGGAAGAAAAGGGCTCTTATAAAATAAAAAAAATGAATTGAGTCTTTTCCACAAACTGTTTTTAATGTACTTTAGCAATTTAATGTCGCAGAACGTAATTGGTTATTTCAAGCGATGAATTCTGTTAGCACAAAAAAGCTTAGGTTGACATATCTAAGATTTACATCATCAGGTTGCAAAGATAAATGGATTATAAGTAAAGAGATTGTGTCAAGAAAACAGTTTCTTTAGTTTGTTTCTAGTTTGGGGAAATTTAGGGGGAAAATCAATTTTATGAAACTAAATGTATTCCTTATATATTTTCATATTAAGTTTACTACGAGATAATGACAAGTTAATATTGGCCTGCTCTGCATTAAAACATGCATACAGGTAAAATAATGAAAACAATTAAAATTTAGTTTTTGCCTAATTTATAACCCAGAGTTCGACTCAAAGTTCTCCTCGCAAAAGTCTAAGTAAATTATGCCAACTGTGCTAACTGAAATTGAAGGTCAAAGCGTAGTAGAGTGGTAACCGCCAAAAAAGTTATCTGAAAAAAGACCTATATTCTAGGAGGAAAAAGTCCTATATTTTAGGAGAAAAAGGTCCTATATTTTAGGGGGGGAAAGTCCTATATTTTAGGAGAAAAAAGGCCTATATTTTAGGAGGAAAAATAGAGTTTTTATTTCCAGGTTTTTTCTTCCAGAACTTTTCCTTTGACTTTCTTACATAGATTCTATTAGAGTAACTGAAAATGAAGAAATTAGTTTATTTTTAGTAAAAGAATTATATCAAAATTTTTGAGAAAAAGGTGCCTTATGAAATATGGTAAATAACTCATAAAATGAAGGGTCACTTAAAGAAACAAATTCAGAAAAAATTAAGCTTTTGCATAAAGTATTAAGCCAATTCTGAATAACATTTTAACTTCTGATTAATATTTTCCCTGTTTTTGAAGTTTTTAACTTTAAACACATCTGTTTACCAATATTCCTGACAGGATGAATAAATGTATTTTTATAAAGAAATAGTCATTATTTCACTTCACATGATAAATATTATGCTATAGAAAAAGAGTCTGTTCAAAAAAGTAAAAAGCATTTCTTAAATACTTATTAGGTACTCTATATGTTACACAAACAGACACGCCAAATGTAAACATAAACATTTCCCTTCTTAATTCTTTTCATTTCTTGTAGATCAAGTAAATAATTAACGTATTTTGCTCGTTTCAAATATAGAGATAATTTCAAATACTGACAACAAGAATAATCAGAAAGTCCAACTATTCACTATTTGTACAAAAAAAGTCTGTAAATTCAAGGTGATATGCATCCTGTTTCCTTCCAGATATTTAATGAAATACTTTTTCTTTGTTTCAGAGAAAAGCTCCGAGGGGATTCGAGACAGGTTTTAAAATTTGTTGTAAAAAACTTAATTTTTGTTGAATAATATGTTTTACCAGATTATATTTGTCCACCTGGTAGTTCCAGCTGATATTCTACTAAACCGGTTACAATCAAGGCAGGAGAATACTTCAACCTAAACCTGTATTCAAGTTTAGAGTATTTTTTATGTCTTATATTTGTGATTTTGAAGGAAGAATCAGAATATCAGAATTTAGAAAAATACAACTCTTTAATTATAAAGCAAAAATATTGAAAAGAAACAATGGGCGTATACACTAGCTATTTGATTTTTATTGCCTAAATTATCTGCTTTAAAGTGTTAACCTAGTAGTTTAGTTTAGTTTAATTTAAAGGTAGTGACATGGCTGAAGCACAAGAAAGATCTCTAAAATTATCCCGTCTATTTTGAAGGAATACTTTTCAGTTTCGAATTTTTAACAATAGTTTTATAACGACAACAAAAAAGTTCTTCAGTAAAATAATATGGTATGTATATTACTATAAAATGAAGAAAGGTTAAAGTATTCAAGTTCAGAACTCAACACTACTTCCCTCCACAGCTTTTAGATAATCAACTTCAGACTTTAGGAACTCATACAAATCTATTTTTACAATTTAATAAAAAGTCATAAATAATCTTGATATATAATTCGTTTTTTTGATGAATCACATTACTCTCCTTCTTCGTATTGGGAGACCTTTTTATCTGCTTTTTGCTGTTTAAAAAGTCTAAACAAAGTTCGATAAATTTTAACTACTTTTTGAAAATTGTATCCTCTAAAAGATCTGCTTATATCACACGTTTGAAATGTTTACTTGTTTTCCTCTGTAAAGAAATGGTTTAAAAGTTCGTAAATGTAAATATGTTTGGGTCAGAGAAAAGTAAAAAAAAATCTAACTTTTAGAACATAACAGATTGTAAGAAGAAGATTTTTAGACTTTAAAGTTTTGACTTCAAAAAGTCCAATGATCATGAGACACCGCAACTGTGCAGTGTTAACAGACCCATTTGTAAATAATAAACACATTATTTATTTTTTTACAAAACAATTATTTTTAAATTTGCATGTTTTAGAGTCGGCATCTGATGGAGAGAAGATTTTTAATATTGACAATAGTCAACCGTTAGAAACTGTGATCTGTCAGATCAAACAGATAATTGATCAAGCAGAAAATTGATCAAACAGAACATTGATCAAACAGATCATTGATCAAATAGATAATTGATGAAACAGATAATTGATCAAATTGAAAATTGATCAAATAGAGAAATAACTAAACATTTAATTGATCGAACATATAACTAATTAAATTTCTTTTTGTCAATCTATCACTAATTATTTGAAGTTGTTAAAAACCGTTGTTAACCGGAATCGGATCAATTTTTTAAGTTTTATAGTAATATTTCACTGTACGTGCAAACACAACATATTCTTATTATAAATACATAATGCACTTCTAAAAACGTTAACCAGAGTTTAAAAAACTGTTTGTATACAGGGGAAATTAATTCAAAAACTAACACTTGGCCCATTTCACTCACTGGGTGTTAAAAATCGGCCAAGTCTGCAAAGTTATCTTTTTCAAGAGCATATATCTTTAAATCCAAGCCGGGTTGAACAAAACTACACCATACATTTTAAAAAAATGGCTAACCCTATAAATCGAAACGCGACAATGTTTCAAATTCAGGATATGTTCGAAAATGTAATACCTGACATTGTCTTGAAAACGGTCAAGGGTTTTTATATTAAAGAACTCCTTTAATAATTTTGATTTCAGAGAAAAGGTTTTTACTAGAAATTGTTGTACTCGTCATTCTTAATAAAATGTTGGTTATAGTTTTTATTATCGACTTTTACTCTTGATATGGGCCGGTATCCTAATAACCTAGTCTTGCAATTTGTGCCTATTTCTGACACTCAATGTTAGAAATGGGCCAAGTGTTAGTTTTGGAACTAGTGTCCCCTGCCTTTAGACCTTGGTGTGGTAGAGTTAGTGTTTTTCTGTTAAAGTTTTGCAATGTGCAACCCCAAGCGCCGAGCCAGAGCCAGTTGTTGCTCTTCTGAAAGCTCTATGTAATATGTATACTGAAAAGGGATACGTTTGATTGTATTTGGTACATGATGAATCAGAGGCGTACACAGGAGTTTGATGGATCCAGGTGTTTTTCTAATATAAGCCCCCCCCCTCTCTGAACAAATTCCTGTGTACGCCCCTGATAAAAATTCCCATCCAATGTCATTCTTAGAAAAAAACGCTACCCCCCCCCCCTTTGCACAACGAAAATATTTCGTTACATGGGTAAATATGAAATATATTTCAATTATATTTTAAATCACGTAATATGTAATCTAACTGGAAATTGTAAAAAAAACTTTAAACTAAATTATTAAATAAATACCCCCTCAGATTAAAAATGTCTGATCAGATGTAATAAATTTCATGCAGACTTAGTCAGTACTCAGTGCTTGTAGTCTGCTGAAAACAGTGACTCACTAAACTAATTCAACATATTTACTGAATACTGTATACTATACAATACATATCACAAGCTCTGTATTTTCTCTTAATTATGAGTGTTCAGTCTCAGTTCCTCAAGCTACTCAGATAACATTAAAATAAGTTAGGCAAAAAGAAGATAAATTACGGTGTATGTATACGGATTTATGTTTTTATCAGTTTCTTTTGACTCGCAATCACCTACATAGTGCTGACTCAATAATGAATGTTTTTATCTATGTATGAAAGAACCATGTCCGAATATTTTTCAGAAGCGGTGACTAAATTAATCCAGTTAAACTGAAGGAAATCTTATATTGAATTGATGAGCAAAAAGAACACAACTGTTTAGAATATCTAATATGTTAATAAATAAATTTTAAAATATTCTTTTTTCTGCCTTGCACGTAAAATAAAACTACAAGGTCACAAAGTTGTGCCAGTTATCAATATCATTGATAAATTTCAGATAAAAATGGCTGGATTGGATTTCAACTATGTAGGTTTAGTGCAAGAAAAATGCACCAAGAAGGGACTACCAAATCCAGTTTATACGGTATGTGAGATGAGAATGGGTTAATTATATATAAGTTTTGGAATAAATATTATATTATCTTTACACTGTTATAATTAATAAAATTGAAAATACATTTTTGCAGGATGGTGCCGTATCCGGGTTGGATCACTCAAAACAGTTTGTCATAAGTAAAATATATTTTTGATTTAAATCCTACCACCCATTTCAATTGGTTTTTAATCATTATTAAATAAATATTTACTTAAATTTTTAGTGTAAAAGGGACAGAGTACATATTTAAATTTACACTGTAGAGTTTTTACCCTCAACGGTGTACTGCAGTACATGCACACAGGCGCGCAACTAGACAATTGGTTAGAGGGGGGCTAGGGGGAAATATTATTTTCGGTATCACAAATTGTGCATTCCTTGTTTTACAGATTATGCATGCAGGCATTATTGCGCTGTCTGAAATCATTTATTGTGCAGTAAAATGGCTAAAATTCACTTCTGAAATCTTAATTTACGTTAATCTATAATTAAGTTAAATACAAATTCTATGTCTGTGTTTGTAAACAAAGGGAGTCCAGTTTCTGTTGTACTGTGCACTACGTATACAGACCAATTTATAATTTTTAAATACTTGGGACATAAAATGTCGTCATCCAACTATGAGTTTGGCCCACTTTAGTATTTAATCATTTTAACACAAATATACTATGCATAGTACACTGTATAGGTTGTAAGTTGGGTACAATACTAGAAAGCGGAGAGGGGTCTACTAAGAAGGAAGCTAAGAGGAACGCAGCCAAGAAGGTTTATGAGAAGTTGGAAGAGGGGGATGTGGCCATCTTTTCTACGGTATTTCTACCAAATTTAAATTTATTCATTTAGTTTTTATATCCTTCATTAATAAAAATTAAGCCAACAAATCTCAAATTTAGTTTTAAAAAGTGATGAATTTTCAGCGAAATAAAAACTGTTTCAAGACATTTTAAGAGTCGCAACGGTACCAATTAAACCTTTTTTTGTCTAGAGTCCCTTTAACTCTATTTTTTTTTGTTTAGGAAATATCTACTCTAAGTATTGATGCGAAGGATATTATTGAGAAGGTTTCATCTTTTACTGGTTTAACTGTTGAGGTTATGACCGTGGAAGCTGCAGAGAAGGTAAGAAAACCTTACAGTATTTGTAAAAAATGAATTAATTAATTAGATCGACCCCCACAACCACTTTTTACACATACATTTAACAATTTGTTTTTAATCTTCATGACAGAAGAAATCTCAAGGTATAATAATTGCCTTAAAACATTCTATAAAAAGTGAATATTTGCAAATAATCTTTTTTTCAATATTGCATGATCTGAGCTCGTTTCCCTTTTGTCCATTTTTAAATAAAAATAATCTTTTTTGTTTGTTTATTTTCTTGTGGTTTTTAACATTTTTGTTATCGCTTTTGATGGTTATTATATCTTTAGAACTGACGAGGGTCAACCTGCGGACCGAAATATAATTTCAATAAAATGTGGAAATAACATTTACTTTTTTTACTCTACTGAGGTTTGGCCCATCACCACCACTGAATTTTAAATAATTACTATTAATTAAAAGTAAATAGTTACTAGAACAAAATCCTAAAGTTGAACCGGATCGGTTAGAACAATATATCCCGATATTTATCAATGCTATTGTCGACAGTTCCCGGCTTATCATGGCTCACAGCTGGCTCATCCAAAATCCTAAAGTTGAACTGGATAGGTTAGAACAATATATCCCGATATTTATCAATGCTATTGTCGACAGTTCCCGGCTTATCATGGCTCACAGCTGGCTCATCCAAAATCCTAAAGTTGAACTGGATAGGTTAGAACAATATATCCCGATATTTATCAATGCTATTGTCGACAGTTCCCGGCTTATCATGGCTCACAGCTGGCTCATCCAAAATCAAATTAATTCAATCATCATAACTCTCGTTATTTCTATGAGTCTTTACTTTTACTTTCCAAAATTGATATTCCTAGGTTTTATATGTATCAGAGAATAAATAACCTAAGAAAACCCAAAATTATAAAAAATTTAAATTACAAAAAATAAATAAAACAAACAAACCTTTTCAGTAAAATTAAAATGTGAAATATGCCAGTGCTATTACCATGGAACACCCTGAAACGATATTATTCATCAAATTAACGATTTTTTCCCCAATGGGTAAATAATCGTTTAAACAGATTCTATACACTAGTAAATAGATTAGTTTTGATTGTTTAAAGAAATTCGAAAAAGTAAAAATTTAATCATAAATATCTACCTCAATCCATAGAAATTGATTAGAACCGTTTTACACCAACCCAAAAGAAAATTTATTGCGCTTACTTGGCTGACCTTATTAAATGGACTGTATAAGTAGCTTTAAGTAACCGTCTAGCTGTACATAGCAGCATCTTCGTTTTTCAACGTCATCTTTTAAACCATTGTTTGGTTTAGGATAAATATATTTTTTTTTCTAGCTAAAATCTTATATTTAAACTGTGTGGTTCTTTTAAAAAATGACTTGCGGTTTTAAGCACAGAGACAATGAAATAAATTGTCAGAAAACTCGTTTTAACTACGATAGAAAAACGGCCATTTTCTTCCTCGATCAATTGTACTCAGCTAGAGTTTTGAATGGTAGTGGTGTGAATCTTTAAATATGGAAGGTCACTTGAAATAACATTTAATCCCCATATATATATTAAGAAAAAACAATTCCTCGACATAAACGGAAAAATGTGAGATAATATAAGGAAAAGTTGCGGATATGACCAAGAAATCTAAAAAAGAGAAATAGAGAGAATACTTTAATTATCAGGTTGCAAGTTTCTACAGAAGCCTGAGGAATGCAAGCGGACCAAAGATATCTGAACTGCAGTCCAAACCTGACTCGACTAGTAGGTAGTGCAGGTTTATTTTAAAATAATGAAATTAGTTAAAAGAAATAAATATGAAACTAAGTTAACCACAGAGTTAAAATTGGTTGGTAAATTTTTTAGCTGTTTGGTTGGTTAACTTGTCGGCTGGTCGATCGGTTAGTTGGTTAATTGTTTTGTTCTTTGGTTAATTGGCTGGTTTATAAAATGGATTGTCTTTTATTTGGTTGGTTGACCAATTAAATATTATTTTTTTTACAGTAAACTTCTTTCGTATTTGGTGACATATTTTATTGCAATAAATAAAAACTTGTTTTGATCCTCGTTAAAGTTTCCTGATGGTAAACCCTGTATTTTTCTTGTGTGTATTTTTAACTTTTTAATCAAATGAAAAAACAACCAATGGTCAAGACTTTTTTATTTAAAATCTGTTAATTTCTAAGGCATTTCAAATTCTTCTAAAAATATAGATAGTAATTAGATTCTTTAATTTTTCTTTACAAAAAAACTAATAAAAAATACGTTTAACTTCATATATGAATTTAAAACAACTTTGTTTGAATCCCCTTTCTTTTGTTTTAAGAGATGGTCGACAAAACAAATAAAAGAATTATTTGTGTTTAATGTCAACATTGAAAACAAATAAAAGAATTATTTGTGTTTAATGTCTAACATTGAAAACAAATAAAAGAATTATTTGTGTTTAATGTCAACATTGAAAACAAATAAAAGAATTATTTGTGTTTAATGTCAATATTGAAAACAAATAAAAGAATTATTTGTGTTTAATGTCAACATTGAAAACAAATAAAAAAATTATTTGTGTTTAATGTCAACATTGAAAACAAATAAAAGAATTTTTTGTGTTTAATGTCAACATTGAAAACAAATAAAAGAATTATTTGTGTTTAATGTCAATATTAAAAACAAATAAAGAATAATTTGTGTTTAATGTCAATATTAAAAACAAATAAAGAATTATTTGTGTTTAATGTCAACATCGAAAACAAATAAAAGAATTATTTGTGTTTAATGTCCACATTGAAAACAAATAAAAGAATTATTTGTGTTTAATGTCAATATTGAAAACAAATAAAAGAATTATTTGTGTTTAATGTCAACATTGAAAACAAATAAAAGAATTATTTGTGTTTAATGTCAACATTGAAAACAAATAAAAGAATTATTTGTGTTTAATGTCAACATTGAAAACAAATAAAAGAATTATTTGTGTTTAATGTCAACATTGAACTCCTATAGTATTCAAATTTTTAAAATTCAAAAACAACTTCAATTTTTAGTGATAAAGAGTTCTGGAAAATATTATCTGAAGTTGCTGCTGAACAAAACTTCAAGGTAATGTAACTTAATGAGAACTGTAGATGTAAGTGATCTAATGTCTGATTTACAACGAAACCCGTAAAACATGTGGCAGGTGGCTGATCAGTGATCGATTTTGGACTTTTTGGAAGATTTGTTAGGCATGGATAAAAAAATTAATTTAATTTTTTCAGTATTTTCTTGAAAAAATTATGCTTAATTCAGATTCGAAAACCATTAATAAATAATAATAAAAATTTAAAGTTAAGGCTTAATAAAAATCCAAAAAGTTTTTGGTAGGTTTCCAAGCAAATTTTGTTAAACATGAAATGCTCAACAGCAAAAAAAATTTGCCTGTAAAGTCATTTTTTAATTTAGTTTTGTGGCATCTCGGAAAAGTTTTTCAACTTAAAATGCTAAAATTTGGCATAAAATCTATTCGATATGTTAGCTATCGACCTCTAGTGGTCGGTTAATTAAGTATTTCGAAAGCAACGAAATCTTAAATTATTGTTTTTGATCGTTAAAATATCAATTATTGCAACCATGCTTAAACAATTCTTTAAGTGTAAAATTAAAACAGAACAGTGTCTATTGTGTACGAAATAATCAATAACAATAATATTAATTAAAAGTTATTGTAAAGAATTATTTTATTTTCATATTTAATTGAAAAAAATAAGAATATTTTCTTCATCAGATAAAGGTTTAAATAACACTGTTGAAAATCGGTACTGTCACTCTTTTTAAAATTTTGACTAAAATCAGTTTTATCCTTTTTTTAGGATTTCAGATATTTTAAGTTTTGGTGAATTGAAATTAATTATCTTAAAAGTAAACCCAATTTAAAAATATCACGTTTAAACCAAGAAAAAGAAGAAACCTATTACGAATTCCAATCTTCTGATTTAACCTGGTATCTGTGAGACCATGATTTAATCTCTAGGTGGACTACACTGAGATAGAGGAGGGGTCGGACGAAGATGAAGCTCAGTGTATGATTAGAGTTGGAGATCTCCCGGCAACAATCACCTTCGGTCTAGGAAAGGACAAGGAGATGGCTAGGAACGAGGCTGCCAGGTATTCAGTTAATTCACAATATTACAGTGATAACCAGAAAACTCAGGAATAAGAAGTCGACTTTTAAACTCAAGTTAGGGCTTTAAATAGGCCAATGTACATAGAGACACAGCAAATGTGCGGTTTAAACAGACCCATTTCACTTGATAAGGGATTTAATAACTTACTAGTAAAGCTTTTAACTTTGTAACAACATCAAATACACTTCAGTTTTGCTTTAACGTCGTCTTCCTATTCTACAGTTTTCTGGTATCACTGTACATCGTGTACACTGGTCCTACATTTTGTAAATGCTATTTGGCAATTTAAAAAAATACAAAAAGTGTTTTTATTCACTGTTGCTTAGAGATGTTCTTTATTTTGTTACTTCCATTTTTGGTACAAAAATATGTTAAACGCGAATTTCATGAAAATAAATATTTTTTGTGTTGAATATTTTTATTTTTTTATTTTTTATTAATTACTTTAATTCTGCCATTTTTCTGTGGGACCCGGAGTAATTAAATCCTTTTCTACAATACTCTGCTCTAAATTCCTTTTTAAAAAGAAAATCTTTGTTTTAAAAGCAAATTGTTCATGATAAAAATTAAATAAAATAAAAACTGCTACTTTTTCCTTATCAGGGCTGCTCTACAGTACATGAGAATTCTGGTTTCACAGCTGAGTTAGAAACTAGGATTCTGTATTCCGACTTCAGAGCATGTAAACAGACTCATCTGTTCTATCAATAAATGTAAAAATTATCCGTTGATTCTGTATTCCGACTTCAGAGCATGTAAGCAGACTCATCTGTTCTATCAATAAATGTAAAAATTATCCGTGATTCTGTATTCCGACTTCAGAGCATGTAAGCAGACTCATCTGTTCTATCAATAAATGTAAAAATTATCCGTTGATTCTGTATTCCGACTTCAGATCATGTAAACTGACTCATCTGTTCTATCAATAAACGTAAAAATTATCCGTTTTGTTAACAAGAGTTGACTATGATTTTTCATTCTTCTTAGCCCGGAAGTCTTTATATTTGATTCATAAAAAAATAATGATGTTTTTCCAGTCAATTTTTTTGTTCCTAATATGAATAGGAAAGCTGAAAATAAACTGCAATAAACTGTAAACTTATTGTTCTAAGCAATGCTGATTCTGCTTTAGTTAACAATCACATTACTGACCAGTGGCGAAGTCAGGAATTTGTCCAGGGGGGGGGGTTAAGCAAAAATTTATTTCAAGAGGGGGGGGGCGAAAACCCCTGAAATCTATAGATTTCAAGGGGGATTTTCTGTTCCTGACATTGATTGGTATATAAGGCAGAAAATAAACAATTACATGCAATAAAGATAATATAAACACGACATTAAAGGGAGTGGTAGCGAAAAATTATAAGATTTAGTACCCATATCTTTACAGTATACAGTTTAGATGTTAGCAATAAAGGAACGCTCATTTGTAGATATCATTGGGTTCTCTTTAATCTTATTCAGGACCTAACTAGATAGATCCTTTTAAACTGATAAACTAGATAAACTAGATATTATTGGGTTCCCTTTAATCTGATAAACTAGATAAACTAGATATTATTGGGTTCCCTTTAATCTGATACAAGAGAAACTAGATATTATTGGGTTCCCTTTAAACTGATACAAGAGAAACTAGATATTATTGGGTTCCCTTTTATCTGATAAACTAGATAAACTAGATATTATTGGGTTCCCTTTAATCTGATAAACTAGATAAACTAAATATTATTGGGTTCCCTTTAATCTGATAAACTAGATAAACTAAATATTATTGGGTTCCCTTTAATCTGATAAACTAGATAAACTAGATATTATTGGATTCCCTTTAATCTGATACAAGAGATACTAGATATTATTGGGTTCCCTTTTATCTGATACAAGATATGCTAGATATTATTGGGTTCCCTTTAATCTGATAGGAGATACTAGATATTTTTGGATTCCCTTTAATCTGATACAAGAGATACTAGATATTATTGGGTTCCTTTTAATCTATATAAGAGAAACTAGATATAATTGGGTTCCCTTTAATCTGATACAAGAGAAACTAGATATTATTGGGTTCCTTTAATCTTATTCAAGAAATAACTAGATATATTTGGGTTCCCTTTAATCATTGGACCAAAAGAGCTGGAAAGGATATTTAAAATCTTTATATATTTTTTCAATAAACTGATAATCAGAAAACTGTAGAATATGAAAACGACATTAAACAATTACTGAAGTGAAGATGTTGTTGCAAAGCAAATAGCTTTTCTAGCAAATTATTTAATCACATATTAAGTGAAATGGGTCTGCTTTCAACGCACAATTGCTCCGTGCCATGTTCATTGGACTATTTAAAGTCATAACTTGAGTTTAGAAGTCAACTTCCTGTTCCAGAGTTTTCTGGTTAACACTACTTGTTAATTCTCTTCTTTAAACCGTTGAAATCGTAAGATTCTTGAACAATTCCCAACCCCCAATTTGCGTAAATGTTCGCCAACAATACCAATACACCTAAATTTCTTTTCTGAATCTGTTTTGACAGAAAACATATGTTCAGAAATCGAGATTGTCAACCCAGACAAAAAACTATTTTCTTAAGAGTTACGAGTCTTTTTTACAACCAGCAAATTTTGTGTTTGTCTCGTTGTACATTTAAAAAATATTTTTTTTATGTTTTACACCGTGTGCAATGTGCATAACAGTTATGGATAAAATATTAAATTACAGAGAAAAGCATCTTCTATTTATAAATATCGTCGTCTTTGCTAATCTTCAGATTTTAAAACTTAAGAAGATCGTAATTTTACGGCTTAAAAAACGTTTAACTGACCCTAAATGCTAAGATGGCGACATACCTTTGAAACCTTTATCAGAGCTGAAAACTTTAGAATGTTGGATATCGAGATTAATGCTTGATCCTCTCTTTTTCTCAAGAACCTAATCTTGTACTTGTTTCCTAAAGTGTGTAAAATTCAACCAATCAGAGTCGTGTATAAGAAGCCGGGAAATTTGAAATTTTGATCGCCATTTAAGATTAACATACAGAAACGGGAGGGACTCTCTAATTTAAAAAGCGATTTTTGATTTTTCAGTTTTCAGCTGTGATCAATAATGTGGAAAAATGTTGTTTTTCTAGCTTAGTGTTTAATTCTGACCATTTCTATGTTTTTTTCCATAAAAATGCGCACGTCACTTTGGTAGAGAAACTACAATTAAAAATGAAGTTTTCAAAATTCTACAATTCATACTTGATCAAGACACAACTTTTAAGGGTACCGTTGTGATTCGGGCATTTTCATCTTTGCTTGGAGGGTCACCTGAATTTACATTTACTGTTCTTATTTTTGACGTCCCGGACTACATCTGACTCGATTTCGTAACTTCAGCTATTAAGACTCAATAAAAAGTATTGAAATTAAAATGTAATAAAAAAGTCTATTGTATGAATTTATTGTCATAAGAAAATTATAATTAAGTTTCCCAGTTACACAAACTATTGGGCGCCAATTAGGTTTATATATAATTACATTATAATAAGCAATATTCATAATAAATATAACACAGCCTAGAGCCCCCCATACACGGGGCTCAACAAAATTCAAAATTTGCGAACAAGAACAAAAAATGTCTTATTTATTATTTCTTTCTCAAATCGTATCCAGGAAGACGCCTTACGGACCTTAGGTCTTCAAAGGAAAATGTAGAAAACTAAATACATATTGTTAGAGAGAGAGAGAGGTTTAAAACAAGTCAAAGCATTGAATGGATATTTTATTTCCATCTGGGCCAATTATTTGCAACGTTTGATAATGCCTCAATAGCGATTTCCTCATATTTGATAATTGTCTAGAATTGTTTAAATAAATATAATATGAAGGATGTAGCACTAGTTAGTGTAAATATCTTATTTTATTCCAGGACAAGAAAGTCCCGGAGGACAAACATCTGAGCAGAGGAGGACGGAGACCGTCCTCTTGTTCTGGTCCTTCAACCTCGTCTTCAGCGCAGAGATCAGGACAGCTTGTCTAATTGCAATTTAGGGTTTACCCCGGAAAAGAGCTGGACGTATGTGTCCGCGCTACTAGGACATACATGTCCTAGTATTGTCCTGGCTCCGTGTCCGGGGGTATACACTGCTGCCGGTTTGACAAGTTTGCTAAAATCTCCGGGTTCACATTTGCTCTCAGCAACTCGTTCTCTCTGGATAAATGACTGACTGATTCCTGAAAAGTAAAATTTTTTTTTAATAAAATAAAAAAGAACTTATTTATTTTTAATTGAAGAAAAAATACATAACAATAAACGAAAATAAAAATCCTAAAACCATAACACTGTTTAGGATTATATTTATAATTACGCGGGTAAAAATTAACCGCTATCGATTATCCAAAAGTCAATTGTCGAAATTAATTGGACGATTTGTAAAAATAAAAAGATCTGGAAAAAATGGTTACCTCTAATTTTGAAATTTTATCTCTAAGTTCTTCAACCTCTGATCTGACAGCGCTCATAAGGTGAGACTTCACCAAATCCTACAAGAATAAGGAGTAGATATAGAGGATAAATGATATCTCAAGCTATTTATGCATAAAACAATAGGAATAAGAGCACTGAACATTGAGCTAATCAGCACCGCGACTGTGCCTGTGACCAGAAAATAGGTCTACCAAGCTTTTTCTAAATATTTTCTTTTAACAATGATAGGAAGATAGGACAATTCATTAAAGTTGTCCCTTAACAATATGTTCAGTATACACTCGCTCTTTTCGTTGTTTGATTTTTAAAATGAATTTAGCAATACTTTTATTTACATCTGCTATAATGCTTGCTTCCTTTTAATGATAGCTCAATAAATATACATACGAGAAGAACTCCAGTATATCTGCTATATGTAACAGCTCTATAAGTATATATACGAGAAGGACTCCAGTACATAAGCTCTATAAATATATATACGAGAAAGACTCCAGAAAATCTACTGTAAGTGACAGCTCTATAAATATATATACAAGAAGGACTCGGTATATCAGCTGTAAGTCCAAGATCTATAAATATATATGCGAGAAGGACTAAGGTAAATCATCTATAAGTGACAGCTCTATAGATATATATACGAGAAGGACTCCAGTTTATCTGCTATAAGTACCAGCTCTATAAATATATATATACGAGAAGGACTCCAGTTTATCTGCTATAAGTGCCAGATCTATAAATATATATACGAGAAGGACTACCGTATATCTGCTATAAGTACCAGCTCTATAAATATATATACGAGAAGCACTACAGTATATCTGCTATAAATGCCAGCTCTAAAAATATATATACGAGAAGGTATTCTGTAAATCTTATTTAACCTTGGCGATCTGTCAACTTGTCGAGGGATAAAAAACATATCATCAAAATAAAATGAAACTACACAAGATCCGAGGGAGAGAGTGATAACTTTCCTTTAACAATATTTGGGTATTTAATGTTAACATTTTTTTGAAAATACATCGAATGGAATTGGGGGTTGTCAAATATTCAGTGTATTCAATGATTCAATCTTATATGGCTTCGAAAGAGTTTCAAGAAATTGTAAACTCTAATTTTTAAAATGATTAAAAAATAATAAAATAAAATCTAATATCCGTGAGAACTAATGAACGCCAAATACCTTGTCTCCCAAAATGCTGATTGTAGATCTTAAAGTATGACTCAGACGTTAGCAATTTTCAAAATATCTTGATTTGCAAAAAAATAGTGTTTATTTGGATTTCATTTGGACCGGCCTTTAACTTACTGGATTCAAGTTAAACATATAAACATATTTGAAGGAATAACACAAGAATTTTAGAAAATGTTAATTTCATGGAACAAACCCGGATGAATATAAAAAAACTCCCATTAAGTTAGCCCGTTGTAAGAACACGAAATCATTTCTAAGAATTGTTTGAAATAAAACTATTGATTCTGTTGACCCAGTTGGAGCAAGCTTGATTAAATATTAAAAGAAAAATGACAGAAACCGTCAGACAATAAAGTACACAACAGAGGATAGAAAATTTAAGATTAGTTCGGATTTGTATGGATAAAAAATGTTCTAAAACTCACCATAGCTTGCTCTATTCTGTTGTCTATGGTTCCTTGTCCACTCCCAGATGCACTGAAAATAAACTAAAATTATTCACTATATAATTTAAGATATTTGGACAAAATAACGTTACCCTGAAAAAGTTTTGTATAAAAAGGACAGATAAAGCAGAAAATAAAAACCCAAGCTATATTTCTGACTATTAGGACTATTTGTCGCAGTTTAAATTTAATTATAATAATCATTAATTTTGTGAAATGATTATTGACGTAGGAAATAATGCTCAGTATTTTATAACTTTTCACTTATGAAATTCTAAAAATATTTCTTTTGTCACAACTAAGATTTTTACCTAAATAATTTCACACATTTTAAAATCAAGGATGGTTCATTCCTTTCATACATTTTCCAGGATTAGTTTAAATATCATTGTTGCGCAGGAATACTAGATATATAGTGACTAGTCAAATAGCTTGTGTCTGTTTGAAACAAGATTGAAGACTGGCTCTGGCTGCCGTGCATCCTGCAGACTCGAAAGGGGCGCGAATTCAATCCTTGGGAAGGGGGGGAGGATTCCGACAACCCAACACTGCTCCCCCTCCCCCTACCCAACTTAAGCATTTTTTAGTATTAAAGAAGAAAATTCTCAGTAAAGGGTAGAATATTGTCTGTTTGTGATGTATGACTACTTTATGGTTTGAATACTTGAACAGTCTCCTATTTCTAAACCAGCCTCCGATTATACTGCTCCACTAGTTTCTAGAACTTTAACAGACAAACCCTACACACATTTGGAGGCCTTAAACCAGTTCTAACCAGAATTAACTAACTATCCATCTAATTGTAAAACTGCGTCATGTTTTCCCCATGACGCTGGATTTCCCCAACATTAAGTAATAATAAGTTTTCAAGTTACAAAGTTTACCCCCGCAAAGTGCTCCCAACCCCCTCAAAAAGTGAATAAGTGAATTTTCCCTCCTATATTCCCCCCTATACAATATACTCTGCTCTTTGACCTGAAACTGCCTGAGGCTATGCCTGGAAGTTTAGGCAGTTAGAGCAAGTCCGAAAAATTTGAACCACAGTAAATTTTTGTTTGGAAATATTTTGGAATAAAATCAACAACATGAAGAGTACAAGAGAAGTACAATAGGTATCTGAATAAACTGGGTGTCTTAACATTTTTTGCGCCTCACTGTACTTAACAAAAACAGGTAGTTTCTAAGATAGATAATTCAAGGTTCAAACCTGGACCAAACTGCCCAATTTTATAAAAACAAAAATATTAGATTAAATAATAATTTTTTTTTACTAATTCTGAGCTTACAACTTCTCTTTTGGAAACTAGTTTTTACGCAATTTTTATCTAACACCAAGCAACAAAACAATACTATGTCGTAACAAATTCCGACATTTCGTTGATAATGAATAAAGGTAAACTGGAATAAAATTCGCGGTCAAATTGTCCCTAAAAATGCGCTAAAACATGAATGTAGAAAAGTTTACACATTTACGTAAAAGCAATTTTAACCTGGAATTTTCAGAGAGCTTAATCAAATAATTAGAAAGCTAAACTAGGATTTTAACAAGATGCAACAAAGCACCTGTTTCTAGAACTTTTTTATAAATTGTAACTTGTAACCCCTCATAAATCTTTGATTTGCTTCTAAAGTTGGGGAACGTAGTAGAAGCATGGAATGATTTTAGCTTGGGTTTAAATTGAGTAGGTTGACATTAAGTTGGAAAACTAGGTTTCCAGGTAAAGGTGGGTTCCCATTCCCAAGCTTATCTGATATCTAGGAAGTTAGACGGTTAGAGCATGTGAAAAAGTTTAAAATAAACAAGAAAAAGGAATTTTGTATGCCCGATGATGAGAGAAACTTAACAGGGATATAGTAACTTAATTTCAAAATCAAGAAACGATTGAGACTAAATGACAAAATCGATTAATGGGTATTTTTAAAAATAATTTAAAAAATCAAATTTTCAGTTTAAAATATTTCTTTTGACTACTAAAATAAAGGAATTGACAAAATCTTAAAATTATTAAAAATTCAACATTTTGACTGTGAATATTTTTCACTGAGAAAAACAAAGTTCTACAAAATCGAGTTGCAAAGATTTAAGGAATAGAAGAGGTTTCTTTTTTATCTATTCCTAGAGTAATCCTAGATTTAAGGAATAGAAGAGGTTTCTTTTTTATCTATTCCTAGAGTAATCCTAGTTCAAAGGAATAGAAGAGGTTTCTTTTTTATCTATTTCTAGAGTAATCCTAGATTTAAGGAATCGAAGAGGTTTCTTTTTTATCTATTCCTAGAGTAATCCTAGATTTAAGGAATAGAAGAGGTTTCTTTTTTATCTATTTCTAGAGTAATCCTAGATTTAAGGAATAGAAGAGGTTTCTTTTTTATCTATTCCTAGAGTAATCCTAGATTTAAGGAATAGAAGACGTTTCTTTTTTATCTATTCCTAGAGTAATCCTAGATTTAAGGAATAGAAGAGGTTTCTTTTTTATCTATTCCTAGAGTAATCCTAGATTTAAGGAATAGAAAAGGTTTCTTTTTTATCTATTCCTAGAGTAATCCTAGATTTAAGGAATAGAAGAGGTTTCTTTTTTATCTATTTCTAGAGTAATCCTAGATTTTAATAAGCCTGAAATTTAAACAAATCATACAACTATTTTTATGAATTATTATAGGTCCAATGTTTGTTTAAAGAGATTTAGCGAAGAATATCGCAAAATGATTTGTAAACAGCCTGGCCTGCGCTGTACAGCTGGCAATAGTATTTTATCAATATTTGTTTGGTTCATCCTTAAAATCACAAAAATATTTGACCATGATGCATTTTAGTTTTCTACAAAAAGGAGAAAAAAATTTTCACTTGGGTTGTTACAAACCTTCTCTTTAGAATAGTATTTATTGCCAACAGGAGATCTTTCTTATTCTTAGCCGAGGGACCTAGTTTGCCCATAGCTTAATCTTTTCTTGGAGAATACATTGATATCCAGGTATACTTCCTTCACACTTCGTTCTAGCTCAGCAGTTCAAGCAAAACTGGCGGAAAGCTAATCTATCTATCTAGAATGTTTATCTGCCTCTTTATCTATCTCAGTACACATCTACCTATAGCTTGGGGTTAGCCTAAGAATTTGCCCGCATACGCTTCAATTGAAGTATTACCCACTGTTAAACAACATTATAATGGATGAAATCTACAAAAATCTCCTCCCCCCATTCCATCTTGTCGTATAAGAAGGGATGTGTTGTTAAAGGCCCTTGAAATAATAACAAAAACCCCAAAACAAACTTTGTAGCCCATCATCGACTTCATAAACATCTTTCAGACTTTTCTTTTCCTTGAACGGAGATCCTTGAAACTGAACCTTTTTTAAATATTTTTTTTCAGCGCAAATTTTCCCCTGTCAGCGCAAATATCAAAAAACATGAGAAGTGCATTGTTAAATATCTAAAAAAATTTTCCCTGTCCCATTTCAAGCTCTACTCCGATTACAAATTTGCAACTCACTCAAGTTGGGACAAAAAAGTTAAAACTTCAAATTCGAATCCAGTGAAAACTGATTAATTTTCCAAGATTTGATTTCTGATTTCTCGGGCAGAGAAGGTGATTCGTCGGTGAGGAATGTGCGAGCAGTGGAAATTCTCCCATTTAATGAATTTGGTAATGTCCACAGTTTTTGTGGAATTTTATTTAATGACGCAGTCGGGGGGAGTGGGGGGGGGGTGTAGCGGCGTCGGTCCAACTTGTTTATTGCGGGAGATTTATTGAAGTTCCGGTCAGAGCACGGCAAAATGAATGGATTGTTTATAAACATTGAGGGGTTTAGTCTACACCTTGAGTTATTATCTGCGTCCACATTTTTGAAAGGTTAACATTTTTTAGTGATGCCCCCCGGCCCCCCCCCTTCATCCTGTCACTCAATTTACCACATAGAGTTCAAAGAAGTTTTTCCCCATCTGAAGTAAGACATGGATTCCATATTTATTTAAATAGATTAAGTGATTTCAGATTTGAAGTTTATAACATTTAAACATTAAGAGGTAGGATTTAAACCTAAAATTGTTAAATTAGATGAAAAAATGCAACTTAACAAGAGAAGAAATTTGGGAATAAAAAGTTTTTAAGAAAACATAAGCGGCAGGGTGGAAAGGAAGAATGTGAAACTTGAAATCTTATTTATTTCTAAATTTTAGGAATTCCACTAAAAACCTCGTAAACTTTCATATTTTATTTTCGAAAAAGTCTAAACATGATAAATAAATTTGTTTTTACAGCCACTGAGGAATTCCGTTTCCCAAAATTCGCTAATTTTGTGCAACTTGGATAACAATCCAGGTTAAAAATAGAACTTGAAAAGAAGATTATACTTTTAAGTTTTAGCAGTGAAACCAGTCCTACACTACTGTACTGTACTGTACTGTACTGTACTGTACTGTACTGTACTGTACTGTACTGTACTGTACTGTACTGTACTGTACTGTACTGTATCCAGTGAATAACCTATATCCTAATATTTAGATGGTTAAAAGGATCAACATTGTACCTCCTTGACTGTAATAGTTAACCCATTACAGGATCAAATTACATGAATCCAAATTCTTCAGTTAATTCATAAAAAAAAATATTTCAAAATTGTTATATTTACAATTATATAACCGTGAGGATGGAAATTTCCAATGTTTGTCCTTGATCTGTGTACACGGGTGATTATCAGTGGGTGGGGGTGAAGTGGGGGGTGAGGGGTAATTGTTAATGGAAGGGGAGGTGTGGGGGGTGGGGCAGGTTGCAATTTATTACGTCAACTGGACCGGGTAGAAGCCACTCAAGGTGGAAGTTTGGCTAAAGCTACAGATATTATTTTAAACTAAGGAGTTAAACCAAGTTTTATAAGTTTTAAAGGATTACTACTCGCTTATATCACAATTGCTGTTCACCTGAACTTAACTCTCATCCTATAGAGATATATATAAAGGTTTGCAAGTAATGGTTGGAAGCGTACTGCCCCTATTGACCAGCAGACCCCCCACATTCTTCAAGTTTATACGCAGGCG